AAAAAAAAAAAAAAAAAAAAAAAAAAAAAAAAAAGACAATAGATACATATATGTAGGTATGATTTCTGATTAGTTTAAAGGTTAGAACTTTTACAATGATACTGCATGCCTACTAATTATGTACGAATTAAAAGTTTGGTACTACAAAAATATGCAATGATTTCTGGGATTTGGTGATGGGTTGTTTATTTTAATTGAAGAGGAGTCAGGACAGTGTTTCATTTACAGCCATACATATATGATTAAACTTTTGAGTGATTAAAAAGCAAAATTAAAGTAGTTGGTAGGCGTAAGAGGGTGAGTTGGAAGGAAAAAAAGAATGAAATGTAATGATTGAGGAGAAAAGTGAATAGAAGATGACAAGAAAAGAGAAAAGAGAAAAGAGAACCTGAGGCAGGGTCTGCAACACAGAGGTCTTGAAGAGGATCAGGATCTGATGCTGTGGCGGTGGTTAACATTAACAACACCAAAGGAAGAGTCAACAGAAACAGCTTCATGTTAAGCTGCAGTAGGATGTAGAAAAGTTGGGAATGAAAGTGCGGAGAAGCCAACAAGTGGACAAAAGAGAAGAAAATTATGTTTGAATTGTTTGTATGAGTTGGAAGGAGGTGATGGGGTTGCGGTATTTATAACAAGAGGTAGAGTAGATAGAGAAGAAAACTTAGATAGATAAGAACATGTATTATGTATCAAGTGATATGATAGGTTGAATAAATGGCGCGCGTGTGAGTAAACGCATGCAACATGCCATAAAACAAAGAAACAGACCTGTGTTTTGGTTTGGGCCTTTTGTAAGCCATGTGTTATGACCCCACTATTGCAATTTCATCTGCATAAGTTATTTTCTAAAATGATAGTTTAATTGAGATGGCGTTTACTTTAAATGAGATGCTTACATTACTTGCTCATGACGAGAAGACTATTCCATTTCCATTCCGTCTTCTACGATATCACCCGCCTCATATGGCCCTAATTTCATTCTCTATTATAGATCATCTCCCAGAACAAAAAAATATTGCTTTTTATTTATTTATTAAATATAATTTACTATTTCAAAAATTAAAAATTAAACTGATTTCTTCCTTATATAATATTATTTGCATATTTATTAAATATTATATATAATTAAATTTAATAAATTTAAAGTTATTAAATATTTATTAAATAATTACTTTTCATATCAATTCAAAATATCACATTTGTCATCATACTATATTCAATATCCATTAATACATTCAAAATTAAAAAATTATGCATAATTATCTTATTTATATCAAATAATAAATGTATTACTTAATTAAATTATGCTCCAGAAATAATCTAATTATCTCAATTTAAAATTATTTTAATATTTTTATTTTGTTAACCATGTCTACACTAAACTAACTAGAGTTAAAGCATGAATGGATATAAGGTTGAAACGTTTTTTAAAACTTCTCTATTGAAAATCAAGAATACTTTTCGGTAAAAAAATTTAAAAATATTTTTAAATTTATATCTAAATAAATTTTTAATAATAAATTTTTTTAAAAAATAGTAAAAAATGTCAAGGATCTAGTGACGATCATTTTTCTTTTTGTTTGGAAGAACTAAAAAAAGATAGTGTTATATTTTTAAGGACTTAAAACATATTTATATTATTATTTATTGTATATATTAATTATTATATGTTTAAATATGTTTTTAGACTCTTAAATTTAAGATAAATGTATTTTTGATCTCTAAAATTTAAAATAATTACTTTTATCCTTGTAATTTTTAAAAATTATTTTTTAATCTCTCAAATCACTAATAACATATCTATGACAGATTGAAATAATTATGCAACATCAATAGGATTTAATGTGATATTTTCATTAATAAAAATACCCGCGGTATATAGATTTTATGTGATAATATTTAACAAATTTTCTAACAATATTTAAATAAAAGAACTAAAACAATATTTTTTAAAAATTACAAAATCTAAAAAAATAATTTTAAATTTGAGAAACTAAAATAAATTTATCTTAAATTTGAGGGAATAAAAACATATTTTAATTCATTATTACAATTTTAAAACAAAGTAATTTTTTATATAAATTATTTTTTATTTAGTAAATATTATATATATATATATAAAA